AACAAGCAAGGACACTTCGCCAAGTGTTGCAGGTCCACCAAGAAGCCTCCATCTCCAGGTCAAAACGTCTCTTCACAGCCCGACAGAACGTCCACACCACCGTCTCCCAAGAATAACAAAGGATGCCGACGCGTGGATGATACCTCGAGTGACAGGTCCCCCAAGCCCGTCAATGTTCGTCTGTCCTACGGTACCAACTCTTCCAACCTCCTGATGATACCTGACACGGGCGCGGACATCACGGTGATTGGACCAACACACCTGGACGCCCTCAACATCCCCAGGAGTAGCCTGTCACCCACAGCCATGAACGACGTGCTCACAGCGGACGGGTCCCCGATGTCTCCACCTTTGGGTTGCTTCAAGGCAACACTACAGCTCGGTCCCAAGTCTTGCCTTGCCACAGTCCACGTCCATGAGGGCATCCAAACCCCTCTCTTGTCATGTGGCCATTGTCAGGACTTGGCCATCGTCTCATCCGAGTTCCCAAAGCCCATCCTCGCTGTGACACACCTCAACAGGTGTGCAGAGATACCTGTTTCAGCCATGACCACACCTGCTGCCGCCCGGGAGTTCTTTTTTCGTCAGTTCAGCGACGTCCTTGTCTCCAAGCCCGACCTCCAGAAGACGCCGCTCAAGAAGATGACAGGCCCCCCGATGAGAATCCACCTCAAGCCTGGCGCGACGCCTTTCGCCATCCACACACCCAGGCCTATCCCCTTTGCCATACGGGACAAGGTGAAGGCGGAGCTCGATTCTCTGGTGCAGCAGGGGATCATCAGACACGCCGGTGAGGAGCCCTCCGAGTGGTGCCACCCTATGGTCTTGGCACCCAAGCCTGTAGGTGTTCGCATCACAGTGGACCTCACCCATCTCAACTCGCAGGTCTCCCGTCCCGCCCATCCATCGCCTACGCCCATCCAAGCAGTCCGCAGCGTCACCCCGTCTGCAAAGTTCTTTACCACGGCGGATGCACTACATGGGTACTGGCAAGTCGACCTGGCGGAAGAAGATCGCCACCTCACTACATTCATCACGCCCCACGGCCGCTTCCAACACTGCCGCGGACCCATGGGCTTCGCAGCAACGGGGGATGCGTACTGCCTCCGTGGGGATATGGCTCTGCAGGGTGTCACCAACTGCGTGAAGGTCGTAGATGACATCCTGCTCTTCGACGATGATCTCCCGGCCCACTTGAACCGAGTTCATCTGATGCTCACAAGATGTCGTGCCCATGGTATCACCCTGAACAAAGATAAATTTGTGGTCGCCGCCTCCCAAGTTAACTACTGCGGCTACAACATCTCGCCAGAGGGGATCTCAGCTGATGAGGAGAAGGTCAAGGCCATCAGGGACTTCCCTACTCCAGCGAACCTGACCGACCTTCGCTCATTTATGGGCCTGGTAAATCAGCTGGCCGACTTCTCCCCTAAAATCGCCACATCAGCCCAACCTCTACGCCCCCTCATGAGCCCCAAGCGCTCCTTCCTCTGGACTCCTGACCACGACCTAGCGTTCAGGAATGTTAAGAAGGCGTTGCTGTCACCACCAGTCCTGGCACCCTTCGACCCGTCCTTACCAGTGGTCCTCCAGACCGACGCCTCCCGTCTATACGGCCTCGGATATGCCCTCCTTCAAGACCACGGCCAGGGTAGACTGTGCTTAGTTCAGTGTGGCTCCAGGTTTTTGACGGACACGGAGACCAGATACGCCACCATTGAACTAGAGATGCTGGCAGTCGCCTGGGCTATGGCCAAGTGCCGCCTTTACCTGTTCGGCCTTGGGCATTTCACCCTCATGACGGACCATCGCCCGCTCATACCCATTCTTAATCACTACACGTTGGACGCCATCGAAAATCCTCGCCTCCAACGTCTCAAAGAGAAGACCGCCCCTTACGTCTTTACAGCTGTGTGGCGCGCCGGGAAGCTTCTGTGCATACCAGACGCCCTCTCCCGAGCCCCTGTTAGTCGCCCCACACCTGAAGATGAAGTCGACTGTACCACGGCCGCTGCTCACGTTCGGTCTTTAGTGACACACACAGCCACTTCTCTTGCTGACAAGACGACGACGACGCCCTCCATCGAAGACGATAGGACTCTCCAGGAGCTTCGCATCGCCGCCGCTCAAGACCCGGCATACGTCCAACTCCTCGACTACGTCTCCGCTGGATTCCCCACCAACCGCTACGACATTCACGCCTCCGCCCTCCCCTTCTGGAAGCTAAGGGATAGCCTCTATGCGGACGGAGAGCTGGTGTTGTACGGCCCCAGGATCGTCGTTCCCGCTGCCCTCCGCCGGCGCACCTTATCCCGCCTCCATGACAGCCACCGCGGCGTTGAAGCCACCAGGCGCAGAGCCCGTCAGACCGTCTTCTGGCCTGGTATTGACGCCGATATTAAGAGCACGGTTGAGGCCTGTGAGCCTTGCCAGCAACTCCAACCCAGCCAGCAACAAGAGCCGTACCTGTGCAATGACCTCCCAAAGCGGCCCTTTGAGTCCGTGTCCGCCGACTTCTTTAATGTGGCCGGAAAGTCTTTCCTGGTGGTCGCCGACAGGCTCTCTGGATGGCCCGTGGTAGTTCCCTGTGGTCGGGACACCACCTCTTCCAGGGTCATCCGGATGTTTTGTTGCTTCTTCCGGGAAGTCGGAGTGCCTCTCCGCCTCCGAACCGACGGTGGGCCCCCGTTCAATAGCCACGAGTTCAAGAGCTTCGCCGAACGCTGGGGCGTCCACCACATCGTCACCTCCCCTCATTACCCGCAGGCGAATGGCCACGCCGAGGCAGCGGTAAAGTCCGTAAAATACCTCATCCTCAAGACAGCACCGACGGGGAACCTGGACTGCGAGGAGTTCGACAGGGGCCTACTGGAACTCCGTAACACCCCTACCCCTGCCGGACGCTCTCCTGCCCAGGTGTTGTATGGCCGCCCCCTTCGTACTTGTGTGCCTGCCCACCCCCAGTCCTTCTTAGATGAATGGCAGATCAAGGCGGACGAGTGTGACCGCCGTGAGGCTGCCCGGATGGCCCAAGTGACAAGCCACTATGACGCCCACGCCCGCCCCCTTCCCAGGTTGGCCGTCGGCCAGCAAGTACGAATCCAGGACCCGACGTCACACCGCTGGGACAAGGTCGGGGTCGTCATGGGCCGTGGCGAGTCTCGTTCGTACCAAGTCCGCCTCCCCAGTGGTCGTGTGTGGTGGCGAAACAGACGCCACCTCCGCCCAGTGCCATCCTCTAGTGACGAACCTTCCTCCCCGTCCCCTGTGTCCCCTTGCCCAGACCAGGAACGAAGGTCGTCAGTTGATCCTCCCATTGTCCCTCGCCGCTCCCCCCGACTCATGGAAAAAGAGTCCGTAGCCGCTCGAGATTGCACTACGAGCGTAAAGGGGGAGGGAGGTGTATAGATATGTACATACCAAGATATGTGAACACGCCTGACACCAGGACTCTTGTTACCATTCATTGTACCATTTATTCACATGTCTGTATTACTACATATTATTATAGCATGTCTGATGTCCATGCTTATGTCTAATGCCTATGTTCATTTACTATGTCCCGATGTACTATGTCTGTACCGCGCTAGTCGAGTAATTAGAAGACCTCATTTATTGTCCTAGGAATGTCTAGCAACTCTCTTTGCCTGGCTAGCTAATTTCCCTCAGATCGGCCTCGGCCTACCTACGGTCCGGGGTCCCTAGTAATCGCTCCTGTATCGGTTGGCTATCACGCCCAGCCTTGTACCACTTATTGAATATACCTACTGCTCGTGCCCTGGAGTTTCAAGAACCTTGTCTAGGATTACATCCACCACACCACAAGTTCATTGTCAGTTATTGTGTTTTTACCTTGCATTATTTGATTTTACCTTTCCCAAATTTTATTTTAATTTGGTGGCACATGACCTAACCTGTCATGTCGCCAGTGATGTACTGCTATCCCCTCTCACTACAGCAACAAATATACTATGCAACATCACCACCTTAGTTACCTGTCTGAATACTTACCCCAATACATGGTAAAAACAAAAAAAGGTGGTAATAAGACTAGTAGGATATAAGAGCATTCCACATAAAGCAATACTTCACAAGTATGTACCATGTACACACGCAACAAAAAGTATCGGTGCATACTATAGTGTGAACAATTTGAGTCCAGTGACGATAGGTATTGGGAAAGGCGAGTTGTTCCAGCCGTATGTTGGCAGCCCTGTAATCCTGCTGAGCAGCTACTATGGCCTGGTCAAGTGAAACAAACCGTTATAAATAAGGTCGGGAAGTGATAGATAGACAGTATGAAATATGTGGAGCTCCCTGTTAGCAAAATAATTTGTGATACTTGTGAATATTGCCACATTAATTTATGCTACCAAATAAACCACTCAACCTGGTCGTCCTGAGGGGTGGTGCAGTGTGGACGGCCGCTCCGAGACCTGTCTGTAGCACCAGTTTCGAGGTATCGCCGAATCCGTCGTGCAGCGGTGTTCCTGTGGACACCAACCCGCCGGCTAATATCTGACGCCGAACCCTCCGTTATGAAGGGCAATAATAGCTCCTCGTGTTCCCTATGAGGTTTCCATGTCGTCTGGCATGTGTAGATCTCTACTGCTTCATATTGCCTCTGTTTTATACCCACGTTCACCGAGACCGAACCCTCGCTCATCATTCAGTCGACACAAAGCAACTATCCGAAAAGGGGAAACAAACACACTGTCAGCCACATGGCAACACCTAGTGGAGGGGGGGTTATGAGGATACACTTACCAACCTTCCTGACATATCACAGTGTATACATATCGTTTCGGAAGTTGTCGATCTCACCCTGCACTGATACTTTTTGGTGCGAGTGTACCTCCTCTGGTGCACTGCTTGGTGCTCTAAAACATACAGTACTAGGTGTGCTACTGATAGAAAGGGTAAATTTATTTGAAACAGGATGAATATTGTATATTTCTTATCTGTGATGTATTTCTAAAGAAATGTGTATTTTTCTCCAGAATTTCTAGAGTTTGTGGAGAGTGAAGAAGAGTATCACAAAAGAAATTATAATTTAGAGGCTGAAGTGAGACGTTTACAAGACCAAAGCATGGGACAACAGAAGGAGATAAAAACCCTGGAGATGAAGCTGAAGAATGCCCGACACTTGTTGGACTTGGAGAAGGCTCGACGCATCTCAGTGGAAAATGAAAAGAATGATTTGGTGAGTTGCTGAGCTTAACACTATCCCAAATATTGATGTTACTTTCTATATCTAATCTCTTATGGTCTGTTGTATCCTTTCATTGGTACCTTACTCATGTAATAACCATCCTTCCCTGTACAGTATTACCCCGCTTTACACGGTTTCACTTTCCGCGATTTCTCATTTACGCGGTACCTTGCCAGAACCGGACTTTCACTTTCCGCGGTGCATCTACTCATATACGCGTGAAGTATAATTTTTTTATTTTTTTTTATTTAGCTCATAAAATTCATACAAATTACCTGGCCAGAATATAATTTACATTGCTGGAATTCTTACAATATGATGATCATTTTGAATAGAAACATCATGGATTTTGCATTAGACATACAAATTTTAGACCTAATGTAATAATTTGGTTTACACAAAGCAAATATTTTATCTTTTGTGCAAAATATATGACGTTTACATTCAAAATATTCCCTGACCTGCAAGGAATCCAGAAATGTCAATTATATTATCCTAACTTTAGTCTGAGGTATTATTTTTTACTAAAAGTTAAAATCTATTTTTTTCACCCAACATTTCTCTGGTAGGGAGGGAAGGTGGGGGGAGGGTTGGGACCGACCGACCATCTGGCGCGGTTGGAAGAGGGGGGAGGCAAGTTGGGGTACTTTGATTGACAGATAGTGTCGTGAAGAATATTTTTTTTTTATTAACTGAAGATATTTGTTTTAGCTCATAAAATTCATACAAATTACTGGACCAGAATATAATTTACATTGCTGGAATTCTTACAATATGATGATCATTTTGAATATAAACATCATGGATTTTGCATTAGACATACAAATTTTAGATCTAATGTAATAATTTGGTTTACACAAAGCAAGTATTTTATCTTTTGTGCAAAATATATGAAGTTTACATTCAAAATATTCCCTGACCTGCAAGGAATCCAGAAATGTCAATTATATTATCCTAACTTTAGTCTGAGGTATTATTTATTACTAAACGTTAAAATCTAGTGTTTCACCCAATCATTTCTCAGAGAGGTAGGGGCCAGTGAGCTGGGAAGAGGGGGGGGGGATTTGAGTCCATTATTTGAATGGACATTAACCTGGCGACTGTATTTCTCTTAAATATTAATTGTGTGAGCATACCATCATAAAATTTAGATGTTATTTTTACTACAACATAGGTATTGTGTCGGAAAAAGTGGAGTTTGGGGGTCGGGCCAGTCTCTATTGGAATTAATCCCATATGTTCTGTTGTTCACTTTACGCGGTTTTCACTTTCCGCGGTACCCTGTGGGTTCAACTGACCGCGTAAATTGGGGTACTACTGTACTCTATTACCTCATTCATTCATGCCCTGTAAAAATAATTTTTATGACTAAACGAAATCTGTAAACAGCTTGTTCATGGGGTTTATAAGGACAGTTAATTCTGAAAATTTATGATTGTCTAGGATTGAATAGGTTTCTCTTTTAGATGTAAGCTGACAAGGTACAGTAATAGCATGTTTTGTTTGTAAATTTAAAATTGATTACACAATACTATTTTGCATTGATTAGAGAGATTGTAAAAAAAGCTAAAAATGGCATATACACTGTACAAGCTTGTCATTGCAGTCGCTCTATGACACTGAAAGTCCGAGTTTCATCACTTACATATACTGTGTAGTTTCATGTTACTGAACATTTTCCTGCAAAACTGGCCTCAATTTATATGTTCGGTGACCTCAAAGATAAGCACTTAATACTTCCATACCAGAACCTGCCCAGACCAAGAGGTTTGTTGTGTTGTGAGAGGGAAAACTGTTCCGCATGGATGAGTTAAGCGGTGAACTGTCCCACATGGATGAGTTAAGGGTTGAACTGTCCCACATGGATGAGTTAAGGGGTGAACTGTACTGCAAAGTGTATGTTTCGGACCAAGAGGCTTTCTCTAAAGTCCACTCTGAGGAACATGTCTTACTGAAAGCATGTAATAAATCACAGTATGTGCCCGAGGAAATTATGTACAGTCGGGGTTAAAAGTCTTGAACAATATCTGGCATCTACTTCTGAGTTATATACAGTATATACCATTGGGATATACTAATGACACTACTTGTCATCACATATTATGCCTGAATCACAAAATGGGATAAAACTCCTTAATACCTAAGATCTTCGGGTACTTACATGCCAAATACTGTCAAGTGTTCAAGACTTTTGACCCCTACTGTACACTGATAAGTCACATTGGGAAATTTCAATATTTTCTTTCAATCTTACTTTATCATACATCATGGTTCCTTTACTGTACTGGTCATGCACTTTGTTCTTTGGCTATCCTTAGTCCAATTTTTGCAAAATTTCTGTTTGTAATATTTCACTGTTAAACTCAGTTTTATTAATTTTGCACTTTTTTGAGAGCAGTGTGAGGGCAAAACAGAATAAATATTAAACAAAGAGTACATAGCAAACCCAGCAGGAACCAAGACTCCTTGAAGACTGATGTTTGACCTAGCATTGGCCATAGCTCATGCATCTGACTGTAGCGAGTGTAGCGTTTGTGCCCGATAAACAAAGTGGGGAGAATTTGGGATGATGTAATTAACTCTTCCGGGATTGATCTTGGACGACTGCAGAATGGGAATTTAGACTGCTCAGCTTTTTCGTAAAATAAATTGTTTAGTAAAGTAGTTTTTTGGTTGACAGATATTTACTGTATTTTGAAATAACAGCTCATCAGGTAAATGAGTGGCGAGTTATGGTGCTATTTCAACTATGATCTAGCTGTTGCCCAGAAAAGTTTGTGAATTGAACATTCCCTGTTATGATTTCTTAGTTTTCTTTGCTGTGGTAGTAGGTAGTAGGCAGCTACCAAACAGGGAGGTACTACCGCCTGGGAAGATATTGGAAGCATAATGTGTTTTCTAATGGTAGACCCTGCTGCTATATGGCATCACGAAAATTGTGACCAAGTCCCAGGTTGCTGATCTGACTTTCTGCCTCATTTACACACAATTGCAGGGTCTCAACTGTCTCTCTTACTATTGACAACACCACAAATAAAACCTTACTCATTCTTGATCTGTTTTATTCATTCTATTTTATTCTCCTATGTCAGTTGATATTATTACTGAAGAGGGGCCTTCTCGGATGGGTCCCACTGGTCGGGAAGGTTGTGGACCCCAGGGCCGACCTGATCATCATCAAGCTACTGGGGCCTCAACTGATGCCACCACGGTTGCTGGAGGATCGGCTTTTATCACACTTCATTTTTCCAACATTTGCGGACTGAGATCCAATTTTTCTTATGTGGAGCACCATCTATCAACCTCTTCCCCCGACCTCTTACTACTCTCCGAACTTCAACTGACCAAAGCAGCTTCACCCAAACCTTTTCAAGTCTCTAACTACAACCTTTATACCTACTTCCGTTCTAAGGGAGGTGTATGCGCCTACTGCAACACACGTACACCTATAGCCCGACTCACGGATCTTGAATCTCCCCTTTATGATGTCATCTGGCTCAAAATATCTCTACCTACTGTGACTATGTTTCTTTGTTTCCTATACTGTTCTCCCAACTCTACCAACTATTTCGAACTCTTTGACTATCTCGCTTCTTGCCATGAGTCGTTGCTATCCACACACCCCAACACCGAGATCCTCCACCTAGGGGATTTCAATGTACATCACAGAGAGTGGCTTGGCTCTGCAAGGGATGACCCAGGTGGAGCTGAGGCACTCTCTTTTTCCTTACTTAATGATTTGGAACAAATAATCAAACACCCTACACGCGTTCTTGATTGACATGATCAACTTGCTAACATTCTTGATCTTTGTTTTACCTCTAACCCCTCACACTATTCACTCAATTTTTGCACCCTTAGGGTCTTCTGATCACATCCTTATTTCTATTAAATCAAACTGGGCACGACCACCTCCCCCACCCCCCTCTAAACGTCAACTATGGCACTATCGGAGGGCAAGCTGGCAATCCTTGTGAGAATTCTTCACCGACTTTCCTTGGGATGAATGTTGCTTTTCCACTCGGGATGCCTCGGTATGTGCTGACAGCATTGCTGGGATTATACAGGGCGGTATGAGTGCATTTATCCCATCTTCTACCAAAACTTTCACATTACAATCATGGTTTGATCGCTCCTGCTCTCTTGCTTGCAGGGTGAGAGATAGGGCATATCGAGCTATGAAACTATCTCCTTCTATTACCCACACCTCTTTCATTACTTCTAGGAATCGTTGTAAGGCTATTCTTCGTAGGGCCAAGCGGAATTTTATTAAAAGAAAGACCGCTGTCCTGAGTTAATTCTTCCTCTAGTAAATCCTTCTCGTCCTTAACTAAAAACATCTGTAACAACTTCTGCACGCCTTCTTTTCCTCCCCTCTTCCATCCCAATAACTCTATAGCCAACTCTCCCCCTGACAAAGCCAACCTCTTTGGCACCTTATTCTCCTCTAATTCCACCTTAGACGATTCCCACTCCATCCCTCCTACCCCTGCACCTCCTTCTGAACCTATGCACTTTCCTATAATCTCCACTCGCAGGGTTGCCGGTGTGTTATCCAGGTTGGATGTGAGTAAGGCGCATGGACCGGACGGAATCCCCCCTCGTGTTCTAAGGGAGCGTTCTGAAGCCCTGGCCCCTGTGCTTGCTCGCCTCTTTCGCCTTTGCCTCAAAACCAAAACTTTTCCTTCTTCTTGGAAACATGCCTTGGTTCAGTCCATCCCGAAGAAGGGTGACCATTCTAATCCCTCTAACTATCGCCCCATTGCCCTAACTTCATCCCTCTCTAAGATTTTCGAAACTATCTTGAACTCCCATTTTCTCCGTCACCTTGAACGCCTTTCTCTTTTGTCGGATCACCAGTATGGCTTTCGCCAGGCGAGATCTACTGGCGATCTGCTCTCCTATTGCACCCATCTTTGGTCATCCTCTCTTAGGGATTATGGGGAAACTTTTGTCGTGGCTCTCGACATCTCCAAAGCATGGCTCTCGAC